TTAATTTAATTCGATGCTCTATTATTCTCTACCCTGCACCCTGCACGTATATCCTAGGCATTAGATTCTTTTTGACACTCTTATATATAGAATTGTTTTCTTTCCTCATTTGTGCTTCCAACCCCATTAACTGTTGCTTTCTTGTTGTTGTTTTTGGGGGAGCATTTGTGTTTCTCAGGTGACCTTTCTGCCTCAGCCTCCCTTGTTAGCAAGTACGAGAACTTGCTGCCACATCCAGCTATTAGAATTCCTTTCTTGGTTCCACTTTTAGTCTCTCACTGCAAAGTGCAAAAGGAGAAAATAAATTCATTTTCTATTCTTCAATCTTACTAAGCTAAGTTAACTAATTCTAACAGTTCTTTTTTTGTGACCTTCTTAATTTTCCAGGGTCAGTCTCAGTAGTTAATTTCTTTATAGAAATCTTACCAATTTGTTGTGTAGAATCTTTCCTTTGATAGTATGTTCATAGTATTACCATGGGCTTGTTTTCATTTTCATCAAGCTAGTAGTAATGTGTTCTTTGTCATTCTTGATTTCAGTCACTTGAGGCTTCTTTTTCTTGCTTGTTAAGTCTAAATAAAGGTTAGGGCATTTTCTTGATCTTTTCAAAGTACCAGATTCTTAGCTTCTTTATTATTCTTTATATTTTTATTTATTTATTTTCTTTCTCTCCACCCAATGTTTCCAATTCAATTCCTTCTGTTCTTGTGTGTTTTGCTCATCTCCTTTATCTTGTTTATGTTGGAAAGTTAGATTATTGATTTGAGCTCTTTCAATTTTGAACATTGGCATTTACAACTATAAATATTGAAGCGTTGCATTTGTTTGAGGATCCTGTGCTTTTGTTTTCACTTATCACAGTCGACTTTGTAATTGCCCTTGTGATTTCATTGTCTCTTTGGTTCTTGGGATTGTGCTGTTAAATTTACATATACTTGTGACATTATCGAATTTCTGCTATTGATCTCTAATTACATCCCATTGTGTTTGTGGGACATACTTTCTATTGTTTTAGTCATTTAAAATTATTTAAGACGTGTCTTATGGTCTAGAAGATAATATTTTATCTGCACATGAGAAAAACATGTATTAGCTCTTGTTGGACAGTGTTCTACAGAAGTCTGTTAGGTATAGTAGATTTTGAGGGACAAAAATCTCAGTATGTAAACCAACCTAGTCTCAAATTTGTGATTTTTCTGCCTTGGCTACCTGAGTGATTGGATAAGAAGTGTCCATCATTGTACCCATCTAGTTCAAGTGCAAGTTTAATGTTTTAGTTTTTCATTTTCATGTTAGTTTTCATCAGATTCTGTTACAGAAAGTAAAGTATTAAAGTATTCAATTATTATTATCTGTTTTCCCCTTTATCTGTCAAAAATGATTCATGTATTAGGGAGCTATATTGTTAGCTGCATCTATGTTTATAATTGCTATGTCTTCTTGATATATTGACCCTTTTAGAATTATACAGTATTTCTCTTTATTATTAGAGGAAGTTTTGCTGTAAAGTCTATTTTTGTTATACTTGCCAAACCACTTCGGTTCTCTCTTAAGTTCTATTTGCGTGATATCCTTCTCCATGCTTTCACTTTCAACTTAGTGACATTGGAATTTAAAATGTGTCTTGCTGGACATAGACTGTGCATAGGCTGTGCATGACTATAATCCCAGCTACTCAGAAGTCAACTTCAGTGACTTAGTAAGACCCTGTCCTAAAATGAAATTTTTATGTGGGGGTAGGAATATTAAAGCAGTGGGAAAGCATTTACCAAACATGAACAACGCCCCACATCCAATCTCCCACAACAGCACAAATAAAAGTGTTCTTCGTGCATGCAGAATACAGCTGGATGACAGTGTGTAGCCTTTCATATAATTCCTACTATGATAGGACTTTTATCTGCCACTTTGCTATCTATTCTATTTTATTACTGTTTCTCCATCATTGCCTCTTTTGTACTAAATGTGTATTTTCTAAAATACAATTTTAGTCCCTTGTCATTTCTTTTATTGTCTTTTAAAACGTCATTTCCTTATTGGTTGCCTGGGATTAACACAGTTTCAATAGTATGGGGTGAAGCACAGGGCCTCATGCATGTTAGGCCATGTTATAGCACTGACCTACACCTCTTACTACCTTTGTACTTTCATTGCCATAAAACATCTTTATGTACTGAAGGCTCATATATAGGTTTTTAATTTCCACATTAAGTTGCCTTTTAAATCTAATGAGAGAAAAACATAGGAAAAATATTGGGGTTCTTTATCCATATGGATCCAAGTTACTACCTAGTCTCTTTTTATTTACTCCTAAAGTATTGTCTTCAACATTTCCTATAAGGCATGGCAGAAGATCATGGATTCTTTCCATTTTTGTTTATATTGGGATATTTTGGTTTTCCCTTAATTTTAAGGGATCATTTGGCCAGATATAGAATTCTTATTTGAAAGCCTTAGTTGATACAATGCTTTAAATATGTGATAGTGTTTCATTATGGTCTCTATTTCTAATTAGGCATTAGCTATCAATCTTATTCAGGATTATTTTTAGTTAATTAAAACTTTTCATTTATTTTACATACAGACCACAGTTTTCCCTCCCTCATCTCCTGTTCTCCCCCACCTCCCATCTACTCCCGACTCCATCCATTCCTCTTCCATCTCCATTCAGAAAGGGTAAGGCCTCCCATGGGCATCAACAAAGCATGGCACACGAAGTTGAGGCAGGACCAAGCTCCTCCCCCTGCATCAAGGCTGGGCAAGGCAACCCAGCATGGGGAATAGGTTCCCTAAAACCAGCTCAAGCATTAGGGACAGGTTCTGATCCCACTTCTAGGAGCCCCACAAACAGACCAAGCTACACAACTGTCACCCACATGCAGGGGCCCTAAGTTCGAGGTTCCACAAGCACAGGCCAGCTGTCTCTGTGGGTTTCCCCATGATGATCTTGACCCTCCTTGCTCAAATAATCCCTCCTCCCTGTCTTCAACAGGACTCCTGGAGCTGGGCCCAGTTCTTGGCCGTGGATCTCTGCATCTGCTTCCATCAGTCACTGGATGAAGGCTCTATGATGACAATTAGAGTAGTCACCAATTTGATTACAGGACAGAACCAATTCAGGCATCCTCTCCACTATTGCTGGGGCCTTAGCTGGGGTCATCCTTTATTCAGTATTCTTTTAATGTAATGAATCACTTCTCTCCTGCTGCCTTCATGATTCTATGTTTGGGTTTACTTTATAACTGCGTTAGTATAATGTATCTGGATATGCAGGTCTTTAAGTTTATCTGACTTTGAATTCACTGAGCTTTTTAGATGTGTAGATTATTGCTCTTAATTAAATCTGCAGTGTTTTGGCCATTATTTCTTCTAATATCCTTTATGATGCTATCTGTCCCACTTGTCACCATGAGTAAATTTGTGTGTTGCTGATAGCCCATGAGCCTCTTAGGCTATTTACTTTTCTTCATCTGTGACAGTTTAAATGTAATTGGCCCACATAACCTCATAGGAAGTGACATTATTTGGAGGAGTGATTTTGGAGTGGGTACAGCCTTGTTGGAGGAAGTGTGTCACTGTGGGGGCAGGATTTGAGGCTTTCTATGCTCAGGGTACCACCCAGTATCTCAGCTGACTTCCTGTTGCCTGCAAGGCATAGCAGTCTCCGCTCCAGCAGCATGTCTGCTGCCTGCATGCCACCATGCTCCATGACATGATGATAATGTACTGAACCTCTGCAACTGTAAGTGAGCCTCCCCAATTAAACATTTTCTTTATAAGAGTTGCTGTGGTCATGGTGTTTAATCACAGTAATAAAAATCCTAACTAAAATATCATCCTTTTATCTTTCTGTTCTTCTGGCTAGATAATATTGCTTGGCCTATCTTCAGATTTCTTTATCCTTTTGGCCTGTCCATTCAAATACACGACTATCTTCCTATAATAGTTTCCTGATTTCTTGAGACAGATTGTCATGTAGCCCAGGTTAACCTTGAACCGACTAGCCTGAACTCATGCTCTTCCTGCCTCCATTTTTGAAGTGCAAGGACCGCAGCCATGTACCCCCATGTCCAGGTTATGTGGCACTGAGTATCAACTTGAGACTTTGGGCATTCTAGGCAAGCATACTACCAACTAATCCTCACTCTCAACCTACTGTGGTACATGTTTCATTTCACTTTTTGTACTTCATACTTCCAGAATTTCTATTTGGTTCTTTTATGTAATCTGTCATTTTTTATAGTCCCTATTAAATAGAATGTTGAATTTTTCCCATAGCTATTTAGTCATTTTTTAAAAAAATTTCTTTGAGCATATTACAAAACTATTTGTAATATCTGAGCTTCCTTGGGGACACTTTCTATAGACTTTTTTCTTGTGTATAGGCCACACTTTGATGTTTCTTCGCACATTCACATTTTGCTGAAAACTAATAAATCAAATAATATGATAATTCCAATCTATACAGGCCTAATACTCAAGCTCCTTTTCCATTGCATCTATGTGTCTGTCTGGCTATTTAACTTTGCTTTATTAAATTTCTATTATATGCCAAGCTAACCTGTTGTAGATCTTAAGAATTCCCACTCTACACAGACCCCAGTCTAATAGCTGGGGAAACAGCATAAGACCAAACAAGGCCCCCTGAACGTTGGTGTCGGTTGGGAGGCCTGGGCAGTCTATGGGGCCTCTGGTAGTGGAACCATTATTTATCTCTAGTTCACGAATGGGCTTTGGGAACCCATTCCCTATGGAGGGATACTCTCTCAGCCTAGATATAGGGGGAGGGCCTAGGTCCTCCTGCCCCAAATGATGTGACAGACTTTGATGATCCCCCATGGGAGGCCTCTTGGGGAGTGGATTGGGGGTGGGATGGGGGACTGGTGGGGGGCATGGGAGAACGGGAGGGAGAGGGAACTGGGATTAGTATGTGAAATAAGATTGTTTTAAATTTAAATAAAGAAATTAATTTTAAAAAGAGAGAAAAAGAAACTCAAGGATGGTGTATTGTTGCTTTAATCAGCTTTGGTTATGCATATAAGTGCTAGAGTCTGGCCCAGGTGAGAACCTGGGAAGGACACAGCCATCAGAGTGTCAGGACACAGGACCTAGTGAAGTCACTTGTGAAATATTTCTTGGGCCAGAAGTAGACCAATCCTCAGCCACTAGGGCTCCTTTCCGAGTCTGTAACACAAAAAAGTAGGGGGTGAGAGTGCCTACTGTGCTGGTCGCTGTCCTCTTGGGCCAACCTTCTAATCCCCTGCCAAGTAAGGATTACTTTACTGTTGAGAAAATTGAGACTTAGGGAGGCTTTGTCACTTGTCCAAGGGTGCACAGCTGGAAAGTTGCAGGTCTGAGACTTAGGCTCAAGTCAGCCTGATGCCTATCCCTATGCTATTTTCTCTGCCTGTGCTGCCTGCCTTCTAGGAATGTCTAGGCTGCTCAAGACCATCTGTGAATTGGAGATGAGGCTCAGTGGTGACACGCCAATCTCTGGGTTCCATTCTTAGCAATGAATGAAAGTAGGTAACTACAAGAAAGGATGGATTAGTGCTGATGAGGTTTCAAGGCAGCAAACGTTAGTAGAGTTGTACTGGCTGGTTTTGTGTGTCAACTTGACACAAGCTAGAATCATCAGAGAGAAAGGAGCCTCAGCTGAGGAAACGTCTTCATGAGACCCATCTGTAAGCATTTTCTCAATGGGGGAGGGCCCAACCCATAGTGGGTAGTACCATCCCAGAACTGGTGGTCCCGGGTTCTATAAGGTGGGCTGAGCAAACCATGGGAAGCAAGCCAGTAAGCAGCTTCCTGTCCATGGTCTCTGCATCAGCTCCTGCCTCTGTGATCCTGCCCTGTTTGAGTTCCTGTTCTGATTTCCTTCAGTGATGAAACAGCAATGTGGAAGTGTAAGCTAAATAAACCCTTTCCTCCCCAACTTGATTTTTGGTAGTGGTGTTTTGTCATAGCAATAGAAACACTAACAATGACACTCAGGGACAGGGTGAGATGAAACAGCTGAAGTATGAATGTGTTGCAAAGAAAGTGTTGGAGGCTAAGAGGAGCCCATGAGCAGGAAGCACTCTGGAGATGGGCATAGATAAAGTGAATCTGCATTATTTGTTTTTTATTCTGTTAAACCAATACTAACATGGCACATGCTCTGTGTGCCGCACCATTCCAAGGGTTTTACATACAGCAGCTCACTGAAGACTCGCCACAACTCTATGGAGTTGGAAACCCATATCTGCTGAGTCCACTTGGGCTAAAACTTATTAGCAAGAGATTTATAAGCAGGAAGATGGAATTGAAGCTGGAAACCTAGCTGGGAGCTTCATGCAGATGGCCCTGGATGTCAGACTGAGGAATTCGTATTTAATTCAGCAGAAATATGGAGTTGTGAAAGAACACCAAAGTGTGCATTTGGAAGCTTCATCTGGATGCTGCAAAGGAAGAAAGTTGAGGCAGCATCTCAGGGGAGCAGCAGAGGACTCTGCCTGGACAGGTTTGATGGGTTGGAGGGGATGTGCCTGTGGATGCAAAACGTAATAATTTCAAGTGGAAGCAATAGGAAAATGGAAGTGCTCATAAGGGTCGGATGTAGTAGCAATGCAATGAATCTAAGAGGAGGTAACCTTGGTCCCAAGTTCAGGACCAATAGAATTATGCTATATGGGCTTGAGAGTGTCCCTGACCTCCCTGTGCCTTGGTCTTCTCATCACCCCCATAAGAAGACTGAATATCTCCATTAGTAGTGGCTTAACCATGCCTGAATTTCTTTTTCTCGTGACCCTAAATGTCCAGAGAGGCTTTCAGACTGTTGTCCAGGATGGGGCTTTTGACATCAAGAGAAGTTGGCCCTTGGGAGCTGGTTAAGAGCACTCACTGGCCCAATCAGCACTCAGTAGAGTACTCAGGGTCCTAGCTGGAAGCCATGAATACAATAGCAACTCCAGAGGGATCTTAAGAAGACGCCTAAAGTGATGGGCATGAACACACTCCACACTGCTCCACCCACATGGTGGCTGCGACCACTGCTGTCCTTTTTCTGGTTGTCAGTAGCAGAGATATAGCGTGGGAACCTGGTTTGGGGGTATTCAGGTCCTGGAATCATCATAGCTCAAGGCATGACTTTCTAGCTCCAAGCCCCACTTGACAGTTTACACAACTCTTCCACACCAACAAGTCTAGGAGGTAGAAATGATTATCAGAATTTTACAAATGAGGCCCAGCTGGGATGTTAGGGAGCATCTGCCCACCAGGCTAGCTTTCCCACTAGGTCACGTGCACTGGCGCAAGCCCTTGGCAGCACCAATGCTGGAAGAGTGGGTTCATGGGCACCTGGAGAAACTAAGGTCCCAATAAGGTAGCTTCTCAGCCACCTCCAGACCCAGTAGGTACAACAGAGCTCAGTCAAGAGCAGGTGCCACCAGGAGCCTGGGCCTGGCTTTCATTTGGCACTGGGCTGGACGCCATGTAGCTTGCCCAGGGCCATGGTTTAGTCCCAAATTGGGGTGTTTGGTTCCTTTCTTTATGTCTCCTCTTGTAACTCCAGCTTAACACTCCCCAGATGGCCATTCCTGCCGGCTCTATGCCCATGCTGCCATTCAGACGGGAAAGCAATCATTTCACAGCCCCATTAATTAAAGACTAATTGCTGATTGGAAACACATTGACTCGGCCCTGAGCCGGTATCATGTTGTGGGCCCTCTGGCCCTGGGGAAGGCCCAGCCCTTCTAAGACTCTGGCCCCTCCGAGGCTTGCTTACTGCAACAGCACAACTGGACCTGGACTTAGGCTAATGAGGTGTCAGCTGACTATTAGAACCACATTTATGGGGGGGGGACCAGACCAGATAGGAGCTGACACATGCAGCAGCCATTAGCTCTAAAGTTGCGTGCTTCCAACGATGGCTCTCTGGGGGCCACCAGCAGCCTAGCCCTGGCCTTCACAGTCAGTTAGCAATGGACTCATCTTCCAGCTAGGCCCCCTTCCAAGAAGCTCAGTATCCCCTCAACCAGCATGCTCTAGCTGTCCCCCAACCATGCAGCTACGAAGCACCTTCTCCGTGCCAGTCGTGGCGATGTGGAAGTGAATAAGCCTAACTACATTTATTGAGCACTTACTACAAGACAGGGACTGCTCTAAGTGCATTCCATGGACTCCTTTCTTTCTCACAAAAGCCCTCAGGGAAGCTGAAGCTCTGAGAATCCACATTTCACAGAAGGAAACTGAAACTCGGTACATACTTCACAACAGTACAGGATCCAAAGCCAGGATGTGAGCCCAGCCTCCTTGTCCAGAACCATTGGGATCCAGATGTACCTCGGAGGGGAAAGTACCAGGCATGCCAGAGGGAACATCAAGGGTGGCACTTCAGTATAGGGTACACAATGGAGCAGAGCCTAGGGGAGGACCCTTGTCTCAGGCATGAAATGAGGACAGACGTGAGTACCTGAGAAGGGAACCTGACATGGAAAAGATAATCCAGCAGAAGGCCAAGCTGGTAGAACAGAACTTCCAGGTGACGGGCAATGTTTTGGTAGCTCCCAGATACCAAGTGGGTATAACTTAGGCTCAAGGAAGGCACCATAAACTGTGGCTTCCGGAAGTTCACTCTGGCTGCAGCTGAGAGGTGCATAGACTGAAAGAGTGCAAAATGCAAAAACAGACCTAAGAGATGCTTGTGGTCCAGGTGAGAGGTGAGGTGAATGGAGTAAGGGGAAAGCTGTGGAGATGGAGAGGATTCTGGCTTGAATCTGGAGTGCCCTCTGCAAGCTCAGGCTGGACCACTTGTGCACTAGCTGGCTGTGCTCTTTTGAGAGGCTGTTAGACCTTCAGGAGTGGGAGACTAGCTGGATGTAGGTCAGTAGGAGCAGCCGTTGAAGGCTATAGCCCCTTTTGGTTCTGCTCCCATTATCTGCCGCCCAGTACTCCATGATGTGAACAACTGTTTTCCCTAATCCAGACACCATAATTTTCTGCTCAAGAGCATGGGGTCAGTCATCTGTGAATTGAGATCCCTGAAGCTGTGAGCCAAAATCAACCTGTCATCATGTCTCTCTTGTTTCTGGCGGGGACTTTTTTCCCAGTGGTGCAACAGTGACTAAGGCAGAAAGCTATTTGGGAGGTGAGCAAATAGAATTGGGTACAGAAAAGGTTAGGACACTATCACCCAAGTCCCCTGTCCCCAAAGGCATGGCAGATGAAGGCACTCTCCTGCTCGAAGCCTTCAGTGACTACCCATGTCTTCCAGTATGAAGGCAGATGTGGGGGCTGGGGCGGCAGGAAATTCTACTTACTCACAAATACTTATGCACTGAGCAAGTATTCCAACCTCTGAGCCCTGTCAAATCCTCTAATAACTGACTCCCTGATCCTTGCTTCACAAAAATCCATGGTGACAATGAACTGTTCTTCACAGGGTGCCAGTCAGAGCATCCAAATCACCAGAAATCTGGGGCCAGCAATGTTAACTCCCACCCTTTCCCCCAACTCTCTTCCATCACCCCTACATCCAAGCATGCTAAACTATTCAGAGGTCCTGTACACATCCCATACTGTCCCCGCCTCCCTTACTCTGCTGCTCTTACTGTGCGTTCTCTCCTCCTCTCCTCCTTTTTTCTCTCACCTCCACCCACCAAAGTCCTTTCCTTTTTCAGGCACAGATGCAACTTGCCATGCAAGCTTCTCCTGATGTTTGTATGACTGGAAAAAATGCCCTCC